AATTAGAAAGGCCTTCAATAATCGATATCGTAGAGAAAATCATATGTAACATTTTCGTAATGGTTGAAAGGAACTAGCGCGGGATAAGGAAATTGCACAGGAGACATTTTTCAAGCGTATTCTCGAATAAATTAATTGCAAAAAAGAATAAAATTTATGAAAAATGCACAGTTGCAGGGGCCAGATGTCATTTCAACTGACATAATTAAAACGCTGTGGAGAGGCAATTTTACAGTATCTAACATTTCATATTTCAATCTACAATTCAAGCGTGTCCGAAGATTGGAAGCAGGTTATCGCTGTACCATTGTAAAGATGAGATAAGATAAATTTATTTGAACTGGAAATGGGCATAACCCGGTGGCAGCTAATTAGATACATAAGTATGATAATACAGCTAACATGCAAATTATATAATAATAATAATGATAACATTAATAATAAAACTAATAATGATGTAAAAACTATCTTATTCACTAAACGTTAATTTACCTTAAAAAAAGAAACATCTATAATCTAACTCCGCACTGAATGTTTGTTCAATTAAGACCACACTGCACTTAACTTCACTATGACCCTTTAATCACTTCCTTCATGATGTCTCTGTTCTACACTGCACGACACCTCACTTCACAATATATTATTTACTCATCGCTCTATAACCTACTGATCAGTTAAGTCCCTCATTTACTTAGTACTACCCTAAATTAATTTCCTCAACTGTTGAACGCTACGAGGAAAGGGTTCAAAGGTTTTTGCAGGCAATCTATTCTATTCTGTTATCGTTTGAATTGTGGGAAAAAATAAAAAAAAAAATCCCGACATCCGTCCTCTGCGGTCTTAAATTTATTTTGTGCCTGTGAAACTCAAATTTTCGAAAAAATGTACGTGAACTTAGTTCAAAGTCTATTTTTAAGGAACTGATTTTTTGAGGAACAAAATCTCTATCTTCAATATTTTAGTTGTAGGAAGACTCCAAAAAAACTTTTTGAACTTTTGCAATTTTCGAAAAATTAGTATTTTTAACGAAAGTGACCAGCGTCATTCTTTTAAACGTCATTCACACTATCCAACAACAAAACTTTATCAAAACGACGGGACCATTTTTTGAAAATTTGGAAAATGACTCATGCAGCAGAAAAGATTTTACTTTTAGTTTAATATTGTATACTACTTCAATGGTTTAATATCATTTGGCAATATAAATGTTGAAAATGAATAATATGCAATTAGTTGATGTTAAGATAACAAAAGTTGTCTCTTAATTCAGTCAAACCTCAAATGGAATGTACATTTCACAAAATTAAACACTAAATTAAGTTCACTATATTACTTTGAGATGTCCCCTTGTTTTGCTCCTGGACGTAAATGTAGCTTCAACATGAGCATGTTTTGTAGAACTCTCCTTTTGCTTGCAATGGTAGGAGTTGAGTTAAGCACGAGTTACTATTTTGTTACCAAATATTACAGATTCGTAGATAATAGGCAAGGCAATGGTAGGATTCCAAGCTCAATGAAGAGAGTCTTGCAGGAATCGCGTGGATGGCATTTACGCACAGGTACAGGAGTACTACAGCAACATTGTAGGAACTGCAAAAATTGTGGACTAAAATTGTATCTAAAAAGCCTCTTCTTCCTAGTAAGCAATTTTCTTTTTTCAAAATTTGTATTCTATGGATTTTTGAACAAAATGATTAAATTCTTGAAAATTGGTGTATTGACAGGCTATTCCTTCAACCATAACCTGCTATTATGCATACTAGCGGACTATGCTTCAACTCAATGACCTATGATGTCAAAATGAGTGAAGTTTACATTTTCCGAAATCCTACAATTAAAATTGCAAAAAGCAGTCTTCGTGTTACACCGATATAAATTATTCATTTTATAAATTTTAGAAATTATTTAACCCAAGTAATTTTGGTATGTTTGAAGACGTGTTATTTTGTTCTTATTTTCTCATGTTAAATGTAGACATCTAGGTAATTGTAAGAATTAAAGGTTGAATAATACATATGCATAACTAAAAAAAAAAAAAAAAAAAAATTCAGTCATAACTATCTGTGTTCAATTTTGAACATAAATTATACTTGTTATTATACTTAACTTCTTTCCTGGGTTGCTTATAAAAAAAATACGTCAATTTTGGCCTCTACAGGCGACTAAGTTGTTAATACGCTCCTGTTCATGCCATTGCGGATGAACGAGTCTCGTGTACCAATTTAATTGGATTCCAGAATATTGACCAGAATTGAATATTTTCTTCATAATTTAACATATTTGATCATCATGCTACTGATGAAAAATTATTTCTATTGATTGTAACAATTTGTACATCCCAACTGTTTAAGTTGTTTATATTTTAATGTTTAATACACAACTAAGATAAAGCAATTATTTCAGAAAATGTTGGGAGGAAAATCTGTTATGTAACACTAAGCTAATATTCCTAGCTCATATGTAATGTAGTGTAATGCTACCTCAAATACCTTTCCCCCTCTTTAGCATTAAGTAATTTACGGACAATTCCATACTTTCAAAGTAATATATCTCAAATTGCAATTAAAGTTAGTTGAATATCATCTTATTAAGAATTAATTAAGACCATCCTCTGATTTTTAAAACTCATATGCGAAAGTACAATTCCGGGGACAATTCCAATTTATCTTTCTATTTTTTCTTATTACTTATTATTATTATTAGCATGGCATGGACTCTGATGACCTAAAAATTCTTTGAAAATTACCTATGAAATGACTTAAAAATGAGAGGAAAATAACCTAAAAAACATAAAAATAAGGGGAAATGACCTCATTTTTTTAAAATAGTAAAAAATGTTTATGAAAATGTATCAATGTATTTTAAAATTTTTAATTAAATTTAGTTTAATATAAAGTCTTCATTTTAGGAAGAAATGTAATCCTTTGCTCTGTTCTTCTAAACATCAGTTTTGAAAGGTCGAGAAAGTTACCGAAGATCTTTGTAATTTTCAAAGTTCAAAAAACAGAAATCATTGCAGTAGTGAATTTCAACAAACTGATGACACAATAAAAACTTTGTTTTAGTGAGTCATGACACACAAGTTTGGATTATGGCACAGAGTGAGTTTTAAATAAAGGTTTGTAAAGGTTCTTACCAAAATAGAACATCGTAAGTCTGACTTATAGGTGCTGGGACCTGTTACCTGAAATTCATTAATTTCCGAGTTATTGCCTTGATCTTATCAATTGTAATGGATGAAAAAATGATATTCATGAGAGAGAATGCCAAGTTGAACTAAGAAAAACAATTGTAGTTAGTAACAATGAAATATATAATTGATTACATTACATAGCTGCAGTAGATAAAATTCATTCTACAACACATGAATACATGCAATTGTTCATGTAATAATCAGTAGGAAGCAGATAGGGATTTTATTATAATGAAACTACACTGATATTTCACACAGTACATTGTTTCATAAAAGGCTTTGTGAATTTAAATGCTCTTATTTCATCCACTCAAATAATTTTCTTTATAATTAATTCTAAATGAGGAAATGGAAATGAGTGCTGTAGCAAATACTTGGACTTTTGAGCTAGATTAAATAAGTCAAAAAAAATAGAGTAATATAAGTTCACCATTTGCAAAAACAACTTTTTTCTCTACGTTACTTTATGATATATCTATGTGCCCTAAACTATGCGTATTAGACCAAAGGTTTATTTTCACAAACTGATCAATATAAATAAATCTAATTTTTCCCTTTTAACCTAACACCCCAAGGACTATCAAATTAGTGAATAATACGAAATGAAAGGCCATCATATATTTACATTCTTGTTTTAAATAATTTGCCTTGCATGTACACTTCCCAAAATTTGAGAACAAGGTTGACATTGTGGTAAAAGAATGAAAATGTGCAGGAACAATGAAAAGACATTTAGTATGTGAAAATAAATCTGGACCTTTCTCATAGATTCTAAGTACTGCAAGATATTTAATTCCAAGAAATCAAAAGTTCATCTGCGTTTATCCAAACACTAAATTTTTCAAATACAACAAATTGTTAGAAAATTTATCAAGTGTTACATATATGTACCTCTCTAATATTAGTTACATTCAGTTGATAAATTAGCAAAACATTAACTACACCTTCTTCATATTTTCCCATTGAGGCATAGTTAAGTGTATAATAAATATTAAAATAATTTATATGAACTGCTGCTTAGTTACTTCACTTATTTTTTAAATTTTCAATTTGGCATACAAACCTAAGTTACTTCTTATGCAACTCTGTAATTGGAAATATTTAAATCTCATATTTTGGACACAACTGAAACTTCTCTCCACTAATCTGCAAGGAAATCTGTGTTTACTATTTTCTCAGAAATGAAACAAATGGAAAGTGCATTAAAAACACATACACGGAGAACAGTTACACACAGCGCTTAAGAAGCATTTGCAGAATGTGGAGAGCTCAGTGCTAATTTGCATCAGGTGTACATGAAAAATGCTGAAAAACACAGATGGAAGAGTAATGAAGATGAGAATGATAATGGTGATGAGGAAAAAATTGAAACAGAAGACAAAATTTTTCCACAACAGAGGCTTTAATGGGAAGAGTTTATTTTTAAGATAACAACCTTTAGCATGGGTGATGCCAATCAGTATTTCAATATTACCTGTACTTCAAAGCCATAACTCCTTTCAACACTTTTGTACCCCTTTGTAACAGTTAAGTATAATATTTAACAGTTTCTTGGAAAGAAATAAATGGGATTTGCAAGAAACACAAACAGTTCATGTTGGCCAACTGTAATTTTAACATTCTTGAATGAACATAAGAAAAGAAATTCATCACAGAAACTTTTGCATAAAACATTGAACAGAAGATTAATCTGAAATTTAATCAAAACAGAATGAAAAAAAAATCATTTAGATAAAAATTTACAAAAGTCCTGATTGAAATTAATATGTAAATAAAAAAGAACAGTTCAAACATTCACTTCACAACATTATTTGATAATATTTCTTATCCGTCTCTCTAGTTCTTGATCTTGTAACATTACTTCAGCCAACTTCTCTCTTGCTTTCTCATAATCTGGGGGCAAATCAGCATACTTTAACAAATCTTTTTCCATATTTTCTATTCTTGCTTGAAGTTGGGTACATGCAGAATGCAATTCTAAAATAGCAGTTGGATATAAGGTTTCTTCCACAGATAAATCTTGAAGCTCATCCATTAACAACTTCAACTGCAGCTCCTTATTATGATAATCATTTCCAATCACAAGTGCGCTTTCAATTTTTTCATTCAATACATCAATTTTATTTTTTTCTATATTAATTCTTCTTTCAAAAAGGGACTTCTTTTCCACATAAGTTTGTTTTTCCTTCTCAAGAATTCTGGTCATCTCTTCATATTCTGCTAATTTCATTGAAAGCTCTAGGTCTTCCCATCTTCTTTGAGTTTTATCAAAAATCGCAATTCCTTGTTCCACTACATCATGAACGAAGTTCTCTTTTTCATTCTTGCAGTTCTTCACTTCATACCGGGTTCCATCAGATTCTAATCGTTTTTCTGCACTTTTTACCAAAGAATCATATTCTTCATCAAGTTTCCGTAAAACTTCAATTACATCATCAGCTATTTTATTCATACGTTCGGAGTCTGTATCCTTTTCAGATTCAGAAACAAATTCAGCCATGGTGAAGTTGTGTATTAATTTGCTGCAAAGCCACAAGATGTTTATTATAACCAAGAGTCCAAAATGCGGCGAATGCAAGGGAACTGCGGATCACAAAGAACAGCTTTCTATAGAACGGGTTCTATGCACAAATCTAACTCACAACACCTCAAGAGTCCCGTTCAACGTCAAGAAATGACAAGCTGACAACTGGCCAGTCATCTTTACATATCCATATTTAAATGCTGTTTAAATGTATTCAATTGACAAGGAGAAGACTTTCCCGCCAAAAGCGATGTCATTGTGTACATTCCATGATAGAAATAAAAAGACGAAGGAAAAATAAAAAGGAAAATAAATGAATAATAACACGAAGAAATATAAATTTGTTTGAACACTTTCGCGAAGTCTACAGGTAGTCTTTTTTTAGTCTTCGAGGGCACTTTGGAGCACCTTGGCAGATATGATGAGAAATGCGGTGAATGATTTCATTTGACTAGCTCATTGATTTGACTCGCAGTTGTCCTGGAGTTGTCATATGATCAGGGTTGGGAAACTTGGCGGTCAAAACGGGGTAATGATTTTTTGCGCCATCTACAACAGGTCCGACGTGAGCCGAACTAAACGTGTGACGTCATGCAATTAAAAAAGCTGGCGATGTAGGCGGTGTTTGTTTTTCGTTACGTGCAGGCTGCAAGCAGGTGGTGCTTCATTTTATCGAATTTTTCAGCATTTGTTAGTATGTAGAATGTGTGCATTGTAAGTAAGTGAATTTGGTTGCGATATTATTTTGTCAGTTTAAAACTTTGTTTTCAGTATTTTGGAAGATGATATTAAGAAAACTGGTGCTAGAAAGTACATTGCTAGGATTTTCGCCCTACAACAGTGGAGGTATTTATAATTCATTTTGGAATCTTGTTGCATAATTGTAATTGGTATTTAATTTGTGAACATCTACACCAGGCAAAATAGTCTTAAAAATCGGTAAATCCCTGTATAATATTAACCTGTTCATGTCATTTATTCTGTTCTATTTGTTTAAAAGTATTGTAATTATATTATTTCGAATGGTATTGGAACAGTATTTTTTGTTACGTGTCATTGTAGTATCCATATATCCATTGTTTGCAATACCACTGGTATTCAAAATGTCTAATTTTCAAATATACATAATTCATTATCTTTGCATTTCTAGAATGTACCTCTCATTAGTGTATGATGAATGTATTATTTTATTTGGTTAGGTGTACGAGTTACGTTTGAGGATCTTGATGTGCAGTATGATAACTGGGATATAACGAATTTGACTTCACTAACATTAGAAGATGGATTGTATCAAAGTATTCCTGCAAGCCAGCCCGTTCTCTCAAAGAACTTTAAAGAAATTTATTCAAAGTGTCAGTAAAATTTTTCCCTTGATGCTGCAAGTGTGCTAGTCTCGATATTGTAGAAATATATATTTCAGCAATATATATTGCATAATAATTGCTGTTTAGAAAAATCTCCTAACAGCACTGGAAATATTTAATATAATTACATCTAAAACATTTTGAATGTGAACAAATTAAAAAACTTTTGTTTTCAATGTGTAAATAAAGAACTGTGTGCTAATAAACCTATAAGCCCAGCTCTTGTCTTCTCAAGATATTTCAAGAAATCTTATTACAGTGTGCCAGTGAAATCTTTTTTCCCTTGATGCGCAAGTGCTGCTAGTCTATATTAACCATATATTTCAGCAATATTATTCAATAATAATTGCGTTGTTTAGAAAAACTTCCTAACAAGCACGGAAAATTTATATAAATTGTCAACATTTTGAATGTGAACAATTAAAAAACTTTTGTTTCGAATTGTAATAAAAACTGTGTGTAATAAAAGTATATCCTAAATATCTAACGTTTATTTAAAATATTAAGATAGTAAATACTTTTGATATTTCACATACTTTCTGAAAGGTTAATATATTATAGATATTTTTATTAAATTACCAAATTTGAATTGAATGAAACATCTAACATAAACGTATATATTATGATAATTATAGTAAAGATTAATCCAGTTTTTCACTATACCGTCAAATTCTGTCAATCCGCAACAATTCAGTATTGTTCTGGCCCATGTGTAGGTTCAATTAGGATAGTTTGTGTGTGGACTTTATGGAAATATGTCATGATGTGCTAACTAATCAGAGCTGTAGAGAATAAAAAAATCTTGTATGCAGCCTAAACAGAAAAATCTGTGCCATTAGTTTATTTTAAAGTTAAGATTGCTAAACTAGGGAGAAACTGGCCAAATTAAATTGTTATTTCTTCACAAATTTTCATTTCATAAAAGATTTTTTTTGTAAACAATGCAAATTCCCTCTTTAATCCCAGAACACTTAGCATATTTACTGGTATGTTATTACTAACTACAAGATGAATCAACTTGCCAAACATTAAACTAGTAATATTTATAAATTGTTCATTTTCCTTGGTTTTCAAAGACTTACCTAAAATAGTCAAGTACAATGATGATATTGTATCAAAATTACAATTCTTTTTTGGCTTATAAAATGTCACCAAAAATTAGGCTGGTATGATTTCAATCGATGATTTATACAAATTATTTTTTTTTTTAAATCATTGATTTAAGTTATTTTTTCAAATATTCAAATAATAAATATAAGTTATAAAGATGAAGACTTAAACAATTTACACAGTTTATACAAGAATATATTTCTTTAAACTTTTTCACATAATTGAAGAATTTTTGAGAAAAAAAAACAATGTAATATACTTTAAAATGAGCATGCTTATGAATGAACAATAAACAAATTGTAGTCAGTTATTTACTAATGGACTTTGATGATATAATAGTTTTTTATCCGCATTTCATTGTCTAGATAATGCAAATTTAGAAATAATACACACACACCGACTTAGTATCAGAGAAGGTGTTAATCTTCAAGCAATTTATAATTCTAGATTTGGAGTAAAAAGTTTGCTAATGCCACAAAAGTATAACATCTTAGAGAGATGAAGCATTAATAAAAATGGAATTTTATGATACTACTTAAGAAAAAAAATTAATATTGTAAAACTAATAAAGGGAATTTAATCTTACTAATTTAATAATGTTAACCTTTTTCCTTGTGTAGTATTGTTATAATACCATTTAAGTGGGAAGAACAGGACAACTATTAAATAGAATTTAATATTTCAAAAACTGTCTAATATTTGTAAGTTTTTTTGAGAAATCAGTTTTTTTCAACAGTAAGAGGCTTTTTGATTCAGTAATATTACAGAAAAGATGGTAAAATTTTTTGACAAAGAATGCTTTTTTTCTGACCCATGCTACAGGTTGCTACAAAGCTTATTCGATAACCTAAGCACATGAGAAGTGATGAAACTATAAGTACTCACATTAAAGATTTTGTGGCTTAGGGCGGTATTGCACCAGACCCCTCAAATGTATAGTATTCTATGTGAAAAAAACAAACAAATAAGGAATGTTCAATTGAACATTTCATGTTTTCATTTTTTTCTGCTTTTAAAGTAATTAAGGATCATATAATCACTTAAAATTTTGGTTTTAAGTAAACACATCTATACAACTATTAAAAATATTATTTAAATCAATTTAATCTGAATAATAAGAAAGCAGTAATACTCTTGAATAATCTCTACACGCACCATAATTAATTCGCACACCTTACTTTGAAAATGCGCGGCCAAAACGCAACAGCTGCGCTATCTGCACCAGGTCCGGGCCTGAGAAAACAAACTTAGTCCCCCGCCTTTTAACATTGAGTGAACCAGTGAACGGCCCTGAATATGATGGGGCGCGTGGCGGCGGCGCGCAGACGTGCGAAAAGTGGATTCATATTTGTGGTATGTGTTGCTCCTCGTGATTTCTGTCAAAATGTGATTTGATGTTCGCGTAATGTTGTTAGATGCGCTCATCATACACGCGTGCTCTACTTTATATGTTAACATAATTGTGCGTTGATTTATTCAGTAACAAGAGTGCTATTTTTTGAATACTCAAGTGCTCGATTTATAAAATTTTAGGCCTCGGAACACGCCCGAAATGCATTATTAATTTAATAGTTATATATTTATAGCATAATTTAATTATTAATCCTGAGGTACCGGAATGCCGTTCCGTCGCGTTTCGTCTGTAATAAAGCCCTGGTATTAATACTAAATAATGTAGGAATCTGGTAGGAATCGTCTATTTGGGTACTGAACCGCCGACTTGACTAGATTAGTTTTGGAAGAATTGCAATTATGTTTTAATGTGTTCGCGTTAATTTTTTAGGACTTTTGTCCTCAGTAAAAATATTACGCAATTTTCAATTGCTGTATTAATACTTGTAATTGATCAATTCCTGAATGTCTCTCAACGCTTGGGTTTATTTGTAACTCCCTGAAAATTATTCACTAGAACTTCTGGCTGGTCTCGTATTATCTGCGCACGTTTTCTTGCACCATAGCTTCGCTAGATGTGAGGAGTGGGGAATTTGGTTATTTTGACAAAAGAAACCTAGAGATCATTTTTCGATGTAAAATAGTTTCTAATACACGGGAGCGAACATTTCTCGTTACCAGATTTTGTCCAAAACGCTCGTTTCTGTCATTTATTCTTAATTCAACTATTATCCGCGCACGTTTTCTTGAGCCCTCACTTCGCCAGTTGAGAGGAGTGGGGAGTTTTGGTTATTTTGAAGAAAGGAATTTAGTACAGAAATTGTAGTTCGTTTTTAGACACAGGATAGTTTCTATTACACGGGAGCGAACATTTCTAGGTATCAGATTTTGTCTACAACACTCATTGCTATCATTTATTGTTCATTCAACAGATGTTGGCAAAGGAGTGGGGGTAGGTATTCCGGATCTCATGAAAACGTGCGCGTATAATACTGCTAAGACAGGAGTGGGGGTAGATATTCCTGGACCAATCGGGACTCAAGAAAACGTGCGGATATATGCTCTTTGTGCTGGTGTACAACTTACGGGAGTCTTAAACCGGCACTTCGCGCCGCTCCAGCAGTAACTGCGCTGTTTAAATTCTGGAGGCTTTCGTGTAAAAGTGAATTGGTAATTATGCGGTGGATAGACTCAAGGATGTTGATAGTGAACGTGAGGGCCGAAGGCTCGTGCCTCGCCGGGACTCGGATCCGGGCGAGCGAGCGAGAAAACTTACCGTTGAAAGTAAATTGGCATTACAATGCGGCGGGGACAAAGCGTATGAAGAGCGAGCCATGAAAATCGCCTCTCCGTAAGTTTTATTCATTTCTATCAGAGCACGTAGCGTAATTTGAGGGAGGGTTTAAGGAGACCCCTACCCTCCGGCGCCACGCTTCTGAGGGTGTACTGTGTACTCTACTTTAATCCTTATTCTTTTAGATATTCCATTGGTGTCAGTTTTACTTGTGTTAACTTTTCAGTTTTTTAAGTTTTCTTTATTTGAAGTAATTTTATTTGTATGCAGTTGGTGTCAGAAGTGCTCCCAAACAGATTTCATGTTCTATGTCTAAGTTACAAGAAAATCTCTAAAATTGTGTCCCATTTCCATTTAAAAATAATGTGTCGTTTCGTGAATGATAATCTGGCTAATTTGTCTATTACGAGTTATAAACCCTGTATCAAACAATCTCGTATCTAGCGCTATGAAAGACTCCTATGTATTTACACCTATGTTCTATGCTAGAATGTTTTTTGCAAACAATATTTTTTGTTTTTTAGTGTGATAAAGTAAGTAAAGCAAATGAATAGTACTGATTCTCAATTAACAATTCCAAGTAACATTCATGAATGAAATGCTTGTAAGCTATCGGGGAAAATATTGAGGGTCAAATCTGACCCAAAAGAAAGTCCATGCAAGTAGAAACTTGAGTCAAAGGGTTAATGGGTGCATAACAGAAGAAGATTAGCTGAAAACAAAAATATTTATAGTATTGAATTTTTTGAAACTATTGCATTTATGGTTCTTTCATTGTAAGTGTGGGTGTTTTTTATTTTTTGTTAGCATTTTGTTGCAAGTTACTCTTGGCATGTACTTTTATTTTTCTTCCTTGCATCAGTACGGGTATGGTGTTTATGATGTATAAACAATTGTGTGAAAGAACAAAATTTTTGTTATAGAATTAATCAGTGTTTTTTGCTCCTTTTTATTCCATTATCCTCTATTCCAGGTTGTCTATGAAGTGACTTGAAACGAAGTGGAAACCATGTTTCACTTGTTGAATATTTGAATGGTTGGTGGGGAACATGCACCTTCATTCACTGTGCTCTGGCAGCAAGAGGCTGTTATATGAAGACATGTTAGATATTGTAGATATTCTATTAGAGACTGTGGATGGGTCACATTGCACATCTCCGTGTCTCCTTTTGTGACCTGTGCTAATGTGTCATCTCGGTAATTAGAGCTACATGCAAGATTAATAATTGCTGTATGGATAGTACAAGAGAAGAAAGAATGGGTGACATGAGACTACTTAACCTCACTATAGTCACCATCAAAAACACTAAAATTTGAGATGTCTAAATTTGTTTTGGTGTAGTGTGCTGCTTTCTTGAGGTTTGTCTCTTTGTAAACATTTGTACTTAATTTTTTTTAATGTGGCGCATGATGTAAATCAGCTGTGACTGTCATCCAATCAGGAGCTTAAACATTACCACGGTGATGTCCCTGTGTTGACATTCATGCTTCCGATTGGATGACACCATATCAGCTGATTTAAGTCAGGTGCAACTTAAAAAGAAATTTCAGCATATATTTTATTTATTTATTTAAAATTTTCTCTAACATGTTTGGTCATTAACGTGGCCAACACAACAATATTTGACTGCCTAATAACCATGGTTAATTTATTATAACTATGGAGTCTTAATAATATGGCGTTAATTATAACTATGGAGCTTTATTAACGCTTACTTATCTTAGAAATCTGTTCATATGTGTGAACTGTGTATATCATTTTTAGGGGACAGTTGGGTGTATAAGAGATACATTATCTGTCCACGAGTAAAGCAAAGTAAAAAATTGGTATTAATTATGCAACTTTCTTGAACTATGCCCTTGCTTTCTCCTGTCTGGCACAATAAACATTTGTAAGTACAAACTTGCAGTGAGCACTAATGACAATATTCCAAACACATTTTTACTGGCATGAAATATAAATTACTTTCTTTTGAAGACAAGAACTTCTGTCCTTTTTTCCTCTCCAAAAAATCTAAAGAAATGACTGAAGCAGGTTAAGATCCACCACTGAACATCTCTCAAAATCAGGAGAAAGTTAGAATGCAAATTATTGAGAAAGGGTCGAAGGCATGACTGATTCTCCAGGGATTGGCATTGCTTCATAAAATCTAGTGGCTGATTTTGTAACTAATACCCCTACTCTCCCGGCATTTCTTCAATCTATGTTCAAGAAATGTTGCATGGGTAATACTGGGCTTTGTTTGTGTCCTATCTCGGCTGCTTTTCAAGAATATATTTACTGTAGTTTAACACGTTTATTCATTCAGTCAGAATTATATGAACTGAAAATTCTTGTGGATTACTACGAATATTTTTTTTACTATTATTATTACCATTATTAATAATAATAATAATATTTAATTTTGTATAATTTCATATTTCATTAACAAAAATTTGCATGTACTAGAAAATATTGCAATAGAATTTACGCTTGAGTTGATTTTAGTTGAACTGATGATGATTTGTCCCAAAGTTTTCACACTGTATAATTGTTTGTGGATATTTGTGAAGGTCATTTAATACAGAAGCTTAGTTTTCGTGGACAAAGGAAGGGATTATGCCCTGTAGGCACATGGGGCCACATCTTATAGAATTTCATGGTTTATGTGTGTGATGATTGCTTGTAGTTTAACATTTTGAAGTTGTATCATTTACATTTTGGTGAGTAATACTCAAGTCGAGATTTTGTAGTAAATACTATTTCCTTAGAGTAAATACTCTCTAAAGTAAATAAATACTAAATTTATTTACTCTTTGTCATGAGCAAAATTGCCAAGGGATGCCTTTTCATTTGTGTTAGAGGGGGACTCCTTGGTATCTGTATCTTATTTATTGAATCATAAATTCGTGCTGGTGATTGAATTGAATCATAAAATCCACCCATAAATTCGTGCTGGCGAGACCCTTGCATTTATTTCATAATACTTGTTAATGAAGATTGAGCTTGTTGACATTTTATCAGAGATATCTCCTGATCCCTCTTATCATAGTTCTCTTCTAGACCTCTTCGTTGCACATCTTTAAAAACCTGTTTCTACCATTCCTCTCTGGGCCTCTCTTTTTCTTGTATCTAATGAAACCACCCACAAACCTGATTGATGTCCCACTATTAAGTCTCTTCACATTACTATTCCATTTAATCTATAATTGATTTTTATTCTTGCATTCGCTTAATAATGTCTTCATTTCAAAGTGTTCCATTTTAGATACTCCACAACTTCTCCAAAAATCCATTTGTAATACTCGGTAATTTCTCTTTCTCTTTTCATAAATATCCATGTTTCTGAACCGTGTAGTACTATACTTTGTATGATTTTCAAAAAGTCTTTTCTTAGTAGACCTGGATATTTCTTCCCCCCAGAGCAGTGAGTATCTTTCTAATAGCTTGTCCTTGTCTAATCTTCAAAACAATCTTTTCCGGAATCTTCTTCGCTTATAATTACTCCCAAATATTTAAATTCTTGACGTGCTTTTAATCTCCATTTATTGATATGATTACTTTTCTACTTTCCCTCTACCTTATACTTCATTTTAAGGAAATTGATCTTTAATCCTGTTTTTTGTATGTTTCCTCAAGCTTTCACATCATATACTTCATATCAGACTTGTCATTGAAGAAAATCTACTGATATTGACAGTGATCTTTCTGCAAATTAGCAGAGAAAAGTAGGGATTTTTGACAAAAACGTTTAATTGTATGTCCCTGGCACCAAAAATTGATTTCTCTTGATCTTAAAGCAGTAAATTACTCTTAAGTACATAGTGTGGTCAGAATTCAAGTTGTGTGGGTCCTTGATATATATAAAAAAAAAATTCAATTTCCCCTCAACCTCTTATAGTCAAAATTTCTCTTAAGAGTTTATCAGACTTTGTAGTAACTATGGAAAGGTGTGGACTCCTAAAAAAACTGATATTTGCGTTGCTATGAGACTGTGCTCAGCAGCTGGTGGACTTCTCCTCAAATGATTGATGATAATTTTATAATTCAATTTATTTTAATGTAAGGTAATTTCAGCGTATGAAATCCATCTAGCGTTTCAATATATTTTGTAGTGCTAGGCCGGCTGAGAAAATTGGGAATAAGAAAAGTGTTTTAAGTGGCTCAGTCTCAAAAACCTGCCAACTCAGCTTCACCCTTAATATCAGTAATATTTTTTTACTTTTTTTGTTTCTGGACTTTAATTTATTTTCCTCTTCAGGTTGCTATGTGGGAAGTTACGTTCCCAATAATTCGCCACTGCCGTGATGGCAGGTAATACATTCCAAGATCCGAGGATATCCCTGATAATGTTGCACCACCTCTTGGCTCTTCATGAGGAGCTGTTGCAGCTTTGGTCAGTAGGTGGTTTCAACTTCTTCTGAAGTGGGAAGACATTTGAAAAATCACTTAAGCAAGGTTCTTTAAGATTTGTTCATGCAAGTTGGAAGAGGTGAGTGATTAACTGAATTCTTCCTAACTAAACCTTTGAAGGATGCATACTGATAGCTAAACCACTCTCCTTGTACAATGACAGTATGCAAGTCATTTATGTACTGAGTGGAATATTGTAAAGGCTAAGAGGTGACAAAGTAGTGTATTGCTGATGAGCACACAGCCTTCAAATTGAAGTATCTCATTCTGATGGCTAAAGATGGTTATTTCAATAAACAATTGAAGCAAGTGCCCCAACTACTGTTTAATATGTCCAAACATTGTGGTAACATTTTTACAGGGGTCAATGGGATGATGTGTGCATTTACTTGAAGAAAATTAATAAGAAATTGTAAGTAGGTTATATGTAAGTAGGTTTTAAGGCCATGAATGTCATTAGCAATAATAGTCTGCTATGAGTAGAGGGCAGATTTCAATAAAATGTCATTATTTTCTTTTCACTTTGTTACGTTTGTGTATAATTAGTATATATTACTCTAGCTTTCAAGATAAAATATCAGTTGTATCTTGTGAGGGGGATGGAAGTCTCAGAAATCTCATCTGATGGCGTGAACAAAAATAAAAGTATGTAAAAATACTGGAAATATGTATTGTGGTTGTCCTAAATTTAGGAAAGGGACTGGTCAACACATCAATAGAATTATATGTGACAACCAATTTAAAACATAGAATCATCTAAATTAATTTTTTTATGACAAAAGGAAATGAGTTTTTTAAAAAGTTTTGTTGATTTCGACTAATTAATCATATTTTAGCCTTTTCCATCCTGTTTTAATGCATTGTTCTGCTGATTTCATTGATGTTAATATCTTAATGGTGCTTGCTTGAAATATTTACGAGATGTCTTTGCTCGTAAATTGTAATGACTGCCAGTTGGGGAAAGAACAGTCCAAAACAAAAGTTTGCAAGCAGAGTTCCCTAGAACAGAAGGAAGAAGCCTTGATTACATCAGTATCCAAAGCTTGAGTTGCTCATCTGAACTAGTTTTGATTATGTCATTATCATTTTTATGCCATAATTTTTTGATTTTTAGGGATTTTGAGAGCATTTTGTTGATAATTTTGGGTGATGTCGGTCATTAAAATCTGTCTCCTACTTATGAGTATGAATGTTATTTTTTGAAGTAACCTTTTCTTCACTGTTAATGAGTCTCGCCACATAAAATAAGGCATTAATTCAATTCATTACAATTCAATGAGTGCAAAATCTCAAGTTTTATTCTCACTTGAATATCTAGCGTATGGATGTATCTGTGCTTGTAATTGAATATTTAAAAATGTAAATGCTAGTCATAATATTTTCATTGAATATCTTGATATTGTGCTTTTATTTCACTTTTTTCTTTTGTTTTCTATACATGTAATTTCTGTGAACAAAAGAAGGTACAATATTAAAAACAACTTTCAGTATAGCTGGCACTTTTTTGGACTTGGAAATTATAGTGGAATAGGTCATTGATTCCAAAAGTTAATTGTTACTGTAGAAAATCACAGGAGTGGAAACAATGCATGCTTGAGAATGCTAGCCTAGCGACTCCTGTGAAAACGTGATTGTCGACACACAGGAATAGACATGTACAGTAGCTGGTGGTGGAACTTGTTCCCAGCATATTGTGTACCACAGTAGATTAGAGGGATTTTTTTGTTATGTCAAAATCATTACAAACTTTACATTCTCTCTTTGTACAAATATTTTCTATAGTAAAAAAACAATTGGTTTACCTACTTGTCATCGTATTGAATTTGTAGTTTACCTAGGTAGTGTGGGATTGTGAGGACTTGTGATATGCTTGTTCCAAATAGTACCTTGTACTTCAGGCCATGTGATAATTAAGTAAACAAAAGTATTTAGAGATATTTCTATTCAGTTGAATCTGGGGTGTACAATTTCTAAAGCCTAGAGAGCTGCGACTAAAACCTTCAATATGGTTGTGGGACACACATTCATTTCTCGGGTGACCACATGTGTCCAAGTATTGTTGATATTGGCGGTTGGCCTGGCTTGTCTCAAAAGAGAGGGAGGTGGAACCATAAATGATATACCCTACTCTACATTATGGCACCATACTCTACAATGCGTAACAAGTTAAACACATTGGGATGATTTTGAATTCCAGAATTTACAGGAAAAAATTCCTTGAATCTAAACTACCTGTTTTTCTGACAACAGGGATGTTGATGGTGACGGCACATGTGCTAGATGTGCAATGTTCTTGCCTGACGTAGAAGCAAGGGACTTTCATCTTTGTCTAATAACCTTTCGAGGGCCACAAAAAAAGGCACAGTGGGAGGGTTTGTATGCATCCTGCGGTCTGCCAGTGACACAAACCTGAGTTAATCTTGGTGTTTTTATTTTGGAGAATTTCTGGTCATTAAATTGATGTCTATTTTTATTGTTTGTAATTAGAACAACTACTTGTTTTGTGACTGAAAACTAATTTGATGGCAGGTCAACTCTAATTTTCGGCTAGTAGAGATTGTTTGTCGCTCTACAAAGAATTGTTGCAATTTTATGCCCATCTTTCTGGTAATCTGAAATGATTTAAATGAATAACTTCTTAAAGACATTTTTATCATCCAAGGAGAACCTCATGTTCTGTTGAGACATACTTACTAGGACAACACTTGTTAAGTGCATTAACGCAACACTAACAGAAAAATGTGACACATGTTAATGTAATTTGAAAACTCAATTTTGTGGCCATAATTAAGTTGGTGTTGAGATTGAAGTTTGTTTAATATTATAAATGTGAAGTTATCTATGTTGTTTGTTCTCCATAGAATTATGAACTTCAATATTTTGAGACAAATTAAAATTTCATATAAACTGATCTTCATTATATCTGTCATTACACTGTAACTTTTTCTTGCAAAGTTCTGGAACCTTATTTGTTCAATCATCATTCACCCTTATAAATCCTCAATGTACACGATACAAACACATAATAAAATAACAAACACATCTAAAAGCCTAGATAACTTAAGACATCATTTACTTCATACAAACTACACATCAGGGTAGACATGTAACCGGATGTCCATAGAGAATTTTGTTTAAAGGGAAATTCCTTAATATTATTTAAAGTTCTTTTAAGTGTTTATCTATTGTTTCTAATTTTCTTTTAGTTTTAATTATGTCTATCATAATTCATTCATTGTTTTCATAAACACCATGCTCATTTTCCTGTTTGGTGTTTTATTTGTAGTATTTTAAACTATCTTGATATATTTATTATTTTCTTTTGTAAAATGATATATGATTTGGAATTATTGTAAATATTTTGATTTTATTGAAAATCTTCAGAATTTAGAGCAGTGAACATTTTGTGCGTTTGTTTTTAGAAACTATATTATTTAATTGAGGGCGAATACAATTCTGTGATTTGAATCATTTTATCATAGTGGTGCAAGATTTAATTTTTAAAAAAAATTTTGGCAATAAAGGAAAATTAATTGCTAGTTCTAATTTACTCTTGGAGTCTCAGCGTCACACAATTTTAGACAAAAGTTTTCTTCTTGCCAAAAGGGTTTTAGAAATCTTCGAAAATGAAGCGATTCAACATGTTGGTGCTCTTCATGCAGCACAGTCTCCTCTGCTTTTATGATCTGGTTTCTGTAATCTACCGATACATCTCTCCTCTGTATGTCTTGTACATTACACATAAACTCATCCATTCCCTTCTCCCTGGAGATAATGACTTTTTGTTCTCGTCCATCAATGCTGTGCCCATGATTTACAAACTTTCTGCCTGTTTTTTTGCATTTTATCTAACGCCTCAATTTGCGATTTTTTGTACAAGCCCCAGCATGCCGCTCTGCTTTCTAAAATAAGACGAACAAGTTTACTATATGCTAGGTATCAGGCATTTGGACTACTATTTTTTAGAATACGTGCAAAGCCCTCCTTTTAAAGCGCAGCGCCCTCCAGGATTTTTTGACCACATTGTTAATCTGATCTGACCAACTATACCCAATCCGCTTCGCAGGTCCAAACTCAAGTACTTAGTTTTTTTACATGTGATAAAATGTTAGTTACTAACTCATAATTGGAGGTAAGACTTGGTGAAACGGATTTACTATTTTCCGGATTTAATTCCAACTTATTTCTGCATGCCCAGTTCCATAAACAGTTTAGATCTTTCTGCCAAATATTTTCGTCCGCAGACGAGCCAATACTCTATATATTACGTATTCATCGGCGAAAAGTCTAACTTTGCGGTTTTATTCCAGTTGCAATGTCAATAATTAATGCTAAGAATAGCAATGGCCCTAACACACTCCCCTGGGGGGACTCAAGAGGTTACATTGACTTTCGATGAATATTTATCACCTATTCTGAATGCGCCCCATAAGAAATTCTTTTATCCACGAGATTATTCAATAATCTAATCCAATTTCTGACAATTTTGCAATTAAATGGCCATGCGGAACATGATCAAATGTCTTACAAAAATCTAATATTATTGCATTGACTTTACTCCCTTCGTGTAGTGAGTCTGCTATGTCCTGACAAAAAAAAGTTTGACTGTCGCACCAATACGCAGGACGAAGTACGTGTTGATTGTGAAATAGACAATCATTTCTATTCAATACTTTTTTAATGTATCCCCCAATTATGACTTCCATCTGCTTACATACGACTGATGTCAAACTTATAGCCCTGTAATTGTTAACAATCCTTTCTTTTAGATTCTTTGACTTCTTTACTATCTGTTTTAAAAATAATTTTGTTGCCCGAAAGAGTATTTCGTGGTGCTTTGAGATCGTGAGGAGGAAAAGTAATTACAACAATTTTCAAATTAATTTCTAAAATTAGTCTATCTCAAATAAAAGTTTTTAAGACCAAATTTTCAGGCAGCGAATGTTATTTGGCGCCCGATCACCCACAACTGCCACATTAAAACCATTTCTTTGTAAAGCACCTGTGACAATTATCTTTTCTAAATCGATATCGAACCATGAAACAAATAGTACGCTACAGGTTGCTTGCAATTGTCAGTGAGACCACGAACTGTAAAAACCAAAGCATGGTCCCAATACATTGCGTTGGGAGCCTTCATCTTCATAGCCAAATATGTAATTTCTGGACGGACTAAATGGTCGATTCTTCTGAAATTAAAATTTCATAAAAAATGATAGATGAAACGTCTCTTCGTCTAACCCACTTCTGATCAATCTGTTCGGACGAAGTCTTATACTGAACTCCAGGGTGATCGGGATCCACGGCGGGGCAGCGCTGTGACATCTCCCCACTATACCTTCGTGTCACCCCTGGTACCCCAGTGGGGTGTCCCCTTGTTGGACCCCATGATGGGTGGGGGGCACGGACCCGATTCCGTTTCAATTCTATGGAGCCTAAAACAAACCCCTTGCGCACTTCCGAAAGGAAGAGGCGTTGTTTTGAGAGAACGGTGGGGTTGAGTTGTTTCTTCCCTAGGGAAGAAGATACACCAAAGAAGCCAGGTTTCATTTTGATGGCGTGCACGGAAGAAGGGAAAACATTCCAAAGTATTTGTGCGGTTCGTCCCGCGCGAGTCACGGAGAACAGTTTCGGTAAATTCCAAGCGGTGATGCGGCAGAGAAATGGTACCATTCTCTTCGAAGCATGCCCCAATGAGCAAATCTCAAAAACTAAGCGCATTGCCGGCCTCCATGTGGAAGTGATCAATCACCCTACCCTTAACCTATGTAACGGTTGTGGTGAATCGCGATGACTTAGCGTCCGAAAGTGAGGAGGAACGTCTGTCTTTCTTTAAGAGCCGCGTCGTAACGGAGGTGTTTAGGATCAAGAGGAAGGATAAAGGGGGAGAGATTCCTACTCCAATTCATATCTTGATGTTTAATCTCCCATCTCTCCCCGAGAGGATGAGTTGTGGGTTTTATAATCTACACGTGCGGCAGTATACAGGTGCCCCATTTATAGGTATTGGGGTGAGTTATCGTTGGCATTTCCAATGAAATAATTATGTGCGTCGTCATTGCCAGCAATATTATTTATTAAAAAAGCAGCTTTCGGCGGTAGTCGTTTTTGTTTCTTCCATACAGCAGAGAACTTATGATGGCTGTCCCATTTAACTTGACAACTTGAAATAACCCAAAAAATACGCGATGTACGAAAATTTGAGCCGAGACCAAATCTCAAGTTTTGAAGGGGGAATCCTTCTATGCTGAAATCAGCACCACCCCTGCCCCCAGGGGGGGCAGTTAGTTGTCTGAAACTTTTTTCTATCACAGTAGATATTATGGAAATTTAGGAACTGTTTACCAATTAGAATATTCCCAAGACCTGAAAACTCAAATCAATCTGAATATACCCAAATCAACCTTCGGCATACATTTTCTGCACTGTGACCATTAGTACATACAGGAGTCTCCCATAAAAGTTCTAATTCAGATACTGAATTCATTATGTCATTTTTCTTTGATCCTTAATTTTAAGGAATTCAGCTTCAAAATCAGTACACAGTTTAGACAAAATTATGTAACTGTGAATTATATTTACAACAGGAATTTGCGGATATAAAAGTTCTCTGCTCTTGTTTAAAACGAGCTTAAGACTCTTCACTATTAAGATATTCCTCTGACACAATTACTTCCTTACAGGAAATACATTTCATTTTCTTCAACACACTATGGTAGCAATGTCCAGAGATGTACACCAAGACTGGAAGGTCTTTATTTCATGATAAAAGATAATTTTCAGATATTTCAAGGCTAATAAATGTGTTTTCATCATCACTTTCATACAGTGGCAAATCTGTCTCCATAAAATCATTAATTTCTACAGTACCAAATATCTTGGATTCTAATTGTACAGAAACTGTGAACTGAATTCTAAGTGTATGAAATAGACCAAACATTTGTCTTAAGCTAGTATTGTATTGTCCATCAACCAATTGCCTGTAGTACCCAAATCTACATTCCAATATGTCTGTTTGAAATTTGCTAGGTACAAAATATTTAAATTTAAACCTATATGTCAATATTCATACAAATATATTATTCTTTCTGTTGTGTTATCGCATTCAGTTTCGGAAGTCAGTCAAGTTCTGAGGTCCTGAAAGATTCATATATGTCCATCGATGTAACAATCTAAGAAATTTGGACAAATACTACAAACTTTCTTGATTTTTGAGGAGACAAGAGGTTCATAAAAAGGTTATTAAGTCTTCTACCTTTTCCTGGAGTCTTGACATTTACAATCCACCACCACTTCAAAATTATTTCAATGATGTTTGACGTTTCAAGAAAATGACAAACCATGTACACAAAGACTGGAAGGTCTTTATTACATGATAAAAGATCATTTACATGAACTATACTGATATGCACTTTTTTCTTTGTAATGAGTTTAATTTGTTCCAGCATAAAAGCAACAGGTTTCTCAAATTCTGAATTCTTGGCGTCTATTTGAAGTAACAGGTCTGAAACTAAATCTAAAATATCATGAGGACTATTGCTACTACTTCTTGTATCAAAACATAACATTAACCTAACTTTCTCCAAAACATTAATGTCATTTACAATACAAACACTATTGTTGTTGTGCCTCCAAGATTAAACGTACTTTTGCCACAATAATGCACACAGTTTTAATTCTTTATTGACCACAACTGAATTATTTTAGGAGCAGAATTTAATAAATATGTACAAAATGAATTCTGACTTCCTTCTTAATAATAGACCAATAATCATCCAAAATAAGCAAGTTGTTTGCTTTTTAGTTAATCGAAAGTACTAAATGATATTTCATTTATTCTTGCAACATTTTCTTTTGCACTCGTCAATAGCATCGAGAAGGTACTCGTTTTCTTAATGTAATTTTTTTTTCTGCCGAACTTTCTCTGTAGGAAGTGCTTGGGCGACTCAAATAATTCGGGCAATTGAGTAACATTGAAGGCATTGCTCCAGGAGACAGTCGTGGATGTTTTAATGGAAGAGTGTTATTGTCCACAATAGAAGACAGAATTCTTCTCAATCACCCAGGATTGAAAATGCAATTCACAAACCTGAAAGTAAACAATGAGCTTAGCAAGACGTAACGAAAAGACGAGTCTTTAAAAACTCTCTACGCTAGCATGATTTTATGTAATTATTATAAAACAATTTTAAGATAAAACAATGTAAACATTTTTTAAAATTCTTCAGCTACATTAAAATCATAAAAACTTTGAATAACTTACCACTGAATGTTCTGTTGGAACAAAATTTTCCCTTTTTATCCCGTGAATCCATTTTCTTCGTTGTTCACTATCAGTAGGAAACTTAAAAACGTATACATTACACTTTTTATCGTAATTGCCGCGACATTTGGGTACAAAACACTTATTGACCATGATTGTAACTATTACACGCAGCAGACCACATTTACATAACCTCGAACACGATCGCGTTCTCTATCCGCCATATTGGCTTTGGGAATCTCCAGTAAGCAGGCCTAGTAAATATCTAGGTGGTGTTGAGTGGACACATGCTGGGAGTGGGGAAAAGTGCATTGGGTACACGGCAAATTCCTTAAACGTCCGCCAACTGCTTATGACTTAGGAAAGTGATAAAGATGGCTTAATGAAAGGAGTAAGGAAAATGTACGAGAGAAAGCGAGAGTGTAGGAGTCTGTAATGAAGGACGCTTTCCAGAGAAAGGAAAAAGGAGCGCCCCGAAGCTATTGAATACAGTTAAGCTCGGCCATTGTTTGGACCCGGAAGCGTCTGTTACTCGAGTTTCACTGTATGTCAGTCTTCCGTCCAGACATTTCGCAGCTGAAACCGCGAGATCCAGGCGCTGGCGCGTGAGGTCCTCGCGTATAGTGATTTTCTGGCCTTTTAGCAGCCTCTTAGACCGGAAGACCTCTCGCCATTTCCCGTAGGTAATAAACTTGACGATAATTGGCCTGTTTTTCCTGCAATTTTTCGACCGACTCTATGGCTTCTATCAATGTTGTTTATAGATACGTCAACACTAGATCTTTTTCGCCATATCAATGACCACATGGTCGGTGTTTTCGCCTTCCTTCTCTTTTAGGCCAAATATCCGCAGACAATTTCTTCTGCTGTACATTTCTAGCTGGTCGGTTTTCAGATCCAACTCGGATTTTAAGTTCAGAATCTCACGATGTGTCTTCAATCCTTGTCTGCAATGAAACAATGAGATTTTCATTGAACGATATTGATTCCTCCAACTTCTTTGCCACTATATCAGTCAAAAGAGGGGCAAGGGATTTGAGAAAGATCTCAGAATGAAGGGTCTGCTCCAAGACCAGATCAACCTCGGCCTTGATTTCGGCCTGCAGGTCGGAGTCGTTCTCGTTACGGTTTACCTTCGGAGGCATGATAAGAGTTTAACTAAAATAAAAATAGGAAAAAAAAGAAGTAAAGCAATGGTAACACAAAATACTGCCGAAGAGTAAATTATGAAAGTGAAAAATAATTTGCAGGAATTCTATCTATGAACGACCTTAGAGGCCGAAAACAATATTATTAGGTTTAAAAGTAGATTTTGGAACTACTGAGCTGGTTTTGATGTTTAGAAAAGTGAAAAATTTGGAAGTAAATTAAATAATAATATTTATTTTTTCTGCCAATGAGGTTTCGCTCGGTGGCAGTTTTACAGCACATAGTAAAGATAGAGATATTACACATTACATATGTAGGAATGCATATAATATGAAAGTACAATTAAGTAAAAACTAATAAAATAAAACTAAGGAGGATGTCTAAGACGACCTAACATACAGTTATTTGGCATCACACGCAATTCTCTAGACGTTTACGGAAGCAACGCACACTGGAGGGAAAAGTCACCAGTACTGCAGCAGGTAAATTGTCCCAGCCAGTTATTGTCCGGTCGGCAAAAGAGTATTTACCTACGTCGGTTTTTTTATTGCTATATTTGATTTTGTATGGATGATCCCTTCCGAAATATTAAGAGTGCCGTATCCTAGTTCGAATGTCATTTAACGTTTTACATCCAGTGTACGCTTTGAGAAGGTTTACTAGTCTAGCGATCTTTCAACGTTTGCCTAAGAGTTCCCACATCTGAGTTTGATTAATGGTTTTTCCAACAAGTTTTATTGCTCTATTTTGAATACGGTCTAACAAGTTTATCTGCCCAGCCATATACGCGTCCCAGCACGCAGAGCTATATTCCATTACCGGACGCACAAGGGAAGTATACGCTAAGCGCTTTGTGTTCGCGTTTCCTGATAGTCTAACGAATTAAATTTTAAAGTTTATGTAATACGAGAAAGAATACTTATCTGTTGAGTTGCTTTCACAGCCTGCTGCGGGCTCCGGAAACCTGCGTTCGGCGACTCCCTGCTTCTAAACTACCTGTAGGTGGGCCCGGAGCGCTCTTCATAGAACGAAGGACATGAACAAACTGAAACCATTGAAACAATTGACTTTCACATCCTTTATATTGTAATTTAATTCTTCTAACACCAAAACCCGCATTCGCATCTCATGTTCTTTAATTTCCATCTCCATTCTTTTGGCATTGTCGGCCAATTTTTGCAGGAGCTCTTTTGAGAGCTTGGAGGGCAGCTGCTCATCATACGATTTTTTACTGGAAAAAGGGCAGTCATTTAACTTTAGACTTACAGTTTACTTAATTTCTTCAATGTGTTGAATTCATCACTCAATTCTTGAAACATTCAACGTTTTCGTAATTGTCCATGAAAACCAGTTTTACTTCTTTTTTGGGCTCGGCTGACGTTTCATTTTCGGGGCACAGCCTCTAGCAACCCTTCGACTATTTTCATTTGCCCTTCTGTGGCCACATGAATTAAGACCATGAAATGACAATTTGGAAGTTGCAGTTATATGTAGAGAAAACATGTCACCAAGAAAGCTTTGCCAAAATAGTTCTGAAAGGCTGCGGCATGCAATTATCAATGATGCCATTGGCATGGATCCACCAATGACCCAGATCGCTGAAACAATTTCTCGTCACTTGCATTCTAAATTAAAATCTGAGGAAGGCCGCTCCACGTCTTTCTCGCCTCGCTCCCATGGATCTATTGTTCTCTTTTGTGGAAATTTTCAGACGTTTTTCACAACCCTACAAATTATAAGTACATAATAGACACCGCTTCAAAGTATTAAATATGAACTATACTTGCATAACGTTGCGCACACTTCTCACATGATTGAGCATATAGCATTTGGCTGTACTAGAATAGGCATGCTTTGCATGGGATAAATTTTGCAATTAGTTTCTTCTCCAGCTTGGATTCTTCGTAGTTTCTGCTGTTATTATTTTATGGTTAATGCGCACGGCTCCAAGATTAGTAAAATTATTCTCAAATCTTTTTTAGTACCACGAATTTTGTTCCTCTGTACGGGGAGGCTCTCCTGGAGTTGAACTATTGAATTCAACGCTTATATTCTGCAGGCTATTTTCTTTTTTTTAAAAATCTCTCCTCCGTAGCCTTATCAGCTGATAATTGGGTTACTTCTAGCAAATTTCTGTGCCAGTAACGCTCTCCACTGCTCTCATAGCGAGGGCCATTTGTGGTTTGAGAGGTGGCAATTAATCGGTACAAATCAGTTCTTACGCATACTTACTTCAAATGCTTTTTTCACTTCCCTTTTTTCTTTGAAGGCCATAAATCAATGTCAGCTTTTCCTTGAAGTTTTGCAGACGGCATTTTGTTGATTTCGATACTGTGGTATGGAAGTTATTGCGAAGGACAACAGCTTGCGCTTGTAGATGTGGCATAATTTTTCACGGCACCCATTTCTCAAATTAATGGATTCGATTTGGCGGTAGTAGTCCTTCCCATAATTATACCAGCTCGAAAGATTAGACACGTGGTCGCAAAGAAATCCATTTTTCCCTCCCCCTGCGTGAACAATTATTAGTTTAATAATAATGTCTTTATTAATGGGCGAGGCTCAGCCATAGGCCTGCTCTTCGCCTAACGCACTGGAAATTTTACATACATTTAAGTTGTAACGTTTTAAGAGGGGAGGACAAGCTGTCCATTTTACGTCTGGGAGAACAAACCTAGGAACCGTCCCGGCATACGCCCTTAAGCGATTGAGTAAAACCAGAAAAACGGCTCAATCAAAAGGAGTGGGGCTTTAGGGCCGAACGTTAATAGAACTGAGTATGTATACTGGAGTAGTGAATGGGAAGTTTCGTGACAGAGCAAAGACGTACAGGGGAAAGGGTCAAAAAAGTATAAATGATAAAGTTTGTTAGGGAGAGGGAAGAGAAAAAAAGCGAAGAAAAGGACAAAGAAGAAGTAGGCGAAAAAGTGAAGTTATTTGGGAACGTGTACAGAAAGCTACGTTTAGTTTACAGTAGCACTTTAGCATAAATATACAATAATTTTTACACCGCGAGAGCACATACACTCTAAGGGGCTAAATAACAGTAATTTTAAATACAATACTGCAGTATTAAGGAACTATCAAAGAGTGGGGGTATTTTAACATACATATGTTTATGCCAATATATTGGTAGCTGAATATCCTTGAGATGGTACAGAGAAAGCTACAAGTATATTTTTATATAGAAGTCACTAATTACTTTTGTATATTGTAAATTAACAAATTCATTAGGGTACACAGCAAAATAATAATGCTCTTAATTTAGGTGTGAGAGGGACTGGGAAGATGAGGGATAGAGCAATGAGGTATCGGGTTAAAATATTGAGAATAAAGAGGTGAAATCGAGAGTGTTTTTAACGGGGGGCGGTGAACCGGTCGCTTGGAAGTGGGAGAAGTCTCAGATTTGAAGAAGACGTTAACGCCGTTCTATATGTCGTTATTCCTTACCCGTGTGGTTAATACAGCTTTGAATTGCCGAAGTAATTTTAAATGTTTTAGTCTCGCTGGTAATTATTCCAGGCTCGGATAGCTGTAATGGTGAATGATTTACTGAATGAAGTCCGTGTCTACTTGTTTTGCGAATTTTTTCCCATCCTTGGCCACCCACAAACGTCATCACTCTGCCAGCACTTTTGAAATTTAAGTGTTACTACCCATGTTATCAATAGATGCTCGTCTCGGTTCTCTTCTCAAATTGTGTTAATTGAACAAATTGTCAATGCTGGATGCTCCAATCCCAC